CTCTCTCTCTCTCTCTCTCTCTCTCTCTCTCTCTCTCTCTCTCTCTCTCTCTCTCTCTCTCTCTCTCTCTCTCTCTCTCTCTCTCGGTCTTCTTCCTCGTCGTGGTCTCCTTGATGCAGGTGCACGGCGGCTTCTTCCACCCGAGGTCTGCTATTGCGGACTGCCTCCTTCGGTCGCCACCTCAGCTATGGCGCATCAGCCTGCGCACGACGGCGCGTGGAACAGCGGGTACCAGCTCCAATACCAGTGCAATCAGACTCGACTTATTCACACTTTTCATGCACGTGAACAACAGACAACAAACAGGCGCCATGCGCCCACACAAAACTCAGAGATATGGCTTCCAAGTAACAGTTCGCTTCCACTGACTATGGCGACTGTGCGCGTCAAACAACTCACTGTTCACACTCCGGATCACCCTGGATGTCCCACACGCGATACTCAGAACACACACATAGTACACACACTCTGCACCCTACACTAAGCTATGGCAGCTATGGCTGCCGCTACCTATCGCTATGACTACCCTGCTTCACTCTCGCCCACTTCGTCTTCGGGCCTTCAGCAGACCTCCTTGCACAAGACGCTGAAGCATGGCTTCCGCATGGATGCATGAATGGATGGGCGCAGCCTCTTGATTTATACTTTTGTGCTGCGTTGGTCTGCCCTGTACCCCTGGCCCATCGTGCACACAGTCCCAGACGGTACTTGCTGGACAGGACCGGACTGGGTGGACTGGGACTGCTGACTGGACTAGGTGGACTACCACCAAGACTCACTCTGAAAGGCCACTTCTAGAAACCTCTAACTTGGCCTTTCAGTACTTAGCAGCTACGACCTTGCCCTTTCAGGTGAGTAGCAGCTACGACCTTGACCCTTCAGGCAGTCTACAGCTACGACCTCTAACTGTCTAGACTCCTACCCTACAGGTCTACAGTTCGAATACCTTCTACCCTGTGACCTACGAAAAACTACCTACCACTGGCGGTACTACAGGTAGCAGGTTCAAATCTACGGGTTGACGCCGGTACTGTACACAGGTAAGGTGGGGAACTAGGGATCGAGCCCTGGGATCTGCATAAGCTACTGCGAACTGGTGAATACCGTTTCAGTTGCAGGTCGCTGGCGAGAAGTCCAGCTACGGCGCCCAGGTAAGTCCTCCGCCGCTGCAGGTATGGCCTCCGCCTCTCTCCCTACCCACACCCCTACCTCTAGCGCAGCTCGAGCAGCGTGTCGCCCAAGAAGTGAGCTACTCGAACTTTGTGTGTCTGCCTGGCCTGGCCCAACTATATGTAGCACTGGGCCTCGCTGGTGTGCCTCTGGTCCTGGCCTGAAATGGTTTGGCTGGATCCCTACCGGACGTCCAAGCCCTCCCTGCTGATGCAGCAGGAAGTGTCCGCTACTGGACGAACACGAACCTGGCCCGAAAGGGTCTGATTGCAAACGAAGAAAGCCAAAAACGTGGCCTTTGTCTGAACAGACGGAAAGTCTGTTCGGAGCGCATCACGGTGTTCATATCCTCTAAATCCAATCCATTCTGCTTCAAGTGCAGAGCAAGGGGACATTTGGGAATGCATTGTCTGCAATCAAGTATTGGTTCGAACACAGGTTCGGGGGGGAGGCAACCACAACTAAAACAATCAATGTTAGTCGAGGCAGACAACAAGCCAGGGGTCTGGTACATAAACTCAGCACAATACAGAGGTTGGATCTTCGACGATAATCTGGAGATGCCAAGATGGATATGGGTCCTAAGCGATACACCCACGCTGAAGCCAGACATCTACCCACCTTACGACAGCCGCTGGAGACTAGCAGGGGCAAAGCGTATGGAGGACAAAGATGTGGGCTACATCCACAAACCGATGATAGACAAGGACACAGTACTGGATGACAAACAACGTTTGCAGACCATGGCCAAACTGCATAAGCTGGGGCAAGAAGCTGAAATGGCCTTTTTAGAGAATAAAAGAGCGAGGGAGGAGGCTGAGAAATCAGCGGAGGTAGGCAAGGGGAGAGAGGAAGAAGAAGAAGTGGAAGGCAACAAAACCTCGAGTCAAAGTGAGGGACTGCGCGGAGAGGGGACAGGAGAGACAAGGATCAGCAAGACAAGAGAGGAGGGGGATTCACAGGGGGCAGTCAAAAGGAAGATGAGTGACAGAGAAACTTCTACGGGGGGTATTGCGAGCCACGACACAAAAAGATCTCATACGGGCAAGAGGGAAGAGGAAGCTTCAATGTCGCAAGGCCAAGTCCATGGATCAGGCACGAGAGAAGAGGGGCAAGGGAAGGCCAAGGCACAAAGTGAGGGCATGGAAATAACTCCATCGGAGGCAGAGGATTCATCATCTTCTTCTTCAGACCAACATACACGGCCAGGTTCACCATCAGCAGGTAACAGCTCATCAGGCAGAGCACGGATGGACAGCGGGGAAAACGTAATGGCAGATCCACCGAATGGCTCAAAAGGAGATATGGATAGCGGGGAAGATGTTAGAATGTCACAGGACTCRGGAGAGGACTCAGGAGAAGACACAGGAGARGACACTGAAGRGGAGGAATGGGAGGATGCGGMGGAGGAGGAGGAACCGGAGGAGGAACCGGAAACGCTAGCCCAGTGGATCAGAACGGTACACAAGCTGAAGTGGGAAAGACACGTCGAATGTGAAGTACGTCTGGCGCATCATAAGCATCTACGCAACCTGAAGCAGGCTACTTCAGCTGGGGATGATATTACCTCAACAAACAGATTTGAATGGTTGAGGAAAGAGCAGGAGGTCAATGAGTTCTACGCATCACAGTATGCTTGGAAGGCCCACCCAAACAGCAACGACATTTTGATACACAACGGGAACTACGCCAAGCACTTTATATGGCCCAAAACGTACCAACCTCAGGGGTTGAAAAGGTCAGAGCAAAAAAGGAAAGCGCAGCAGGAATCAGAAAGCCCAGCTCAAGGGATGGAGGAGAAGGAGCAGATCGAGGAGGAGATGAGACAAGCAGCGATCCTAGAGGCACAAATCAACGTCCTCAAGGACCAAAACAGGGAATTGGAGGAGGATACCATCAATCTGCTAAAAATAGCCTACTCTCCACAAGCTGACATAAATGCAGCAGCCAAGCTCTTCGCAAGGCACAATCCGGGGAGGAGAGTCATCATACCATACCGCTGGAACAACGGCAACTCGGACTGGGAGGTGGCCATACACAAGACATTGGCTCTGATCTCTACAAAGGATAGTCACTGCTCGCAAGAAAGGCTCAAGGATCAGATCTCAGGAGATCTCCCGGACAGAGCTCAAGTGGTAGGGAGTTTGTCCCAAAATTGGGAGGAGTGGGAGGACACGGCAGGTGGTAAGCAAACAGTTGACTACAGGCCTATTCTACTCAGAATGCAAGAGAAGGCAAAGCTGGCGGAGGGATTAATATGGATGCCTTGGCAGGTGGTGGAGGCAATACCATATGGACTATTGGGGGGCACAGAGGCAGCGGAATGGGTGGCTAGGGGAGCAGCGATCCTATCCAAGGCAGATGTTTTCTCAGGGACGCCAGAGGGCATGGACACGTTGTTAGCAGCCGTGGCGACTGATTGGGAGTGGCCACAAGAGGGCTCATGAAGAAATGCTCATTAACGGACCATAATCAAGGACTATTATAAAATGCCAGGGGTAGTGTTGGAAGATAGAACCAAGAGAAGAAGATTATCGTCACGAGAGGGGGAAAGGGAACCGGAAATCAGAATTGTGTCTTGGAACGATAATGGCATGGCACAAATTTTAGACAATAAGGATAAATGGAATAATTTATTAAGGGCCACGGATTGGTTCGGGAGCAACCCCCCAGACTTTTTATGTCTTCAAGAAACCCACCTCACTGACTCGCCGACACATCAAAAGACACAACAACGTATAGAAAAGCAACTCAGATGGGTGAAGGCTAGTTTTTGGGCCGTGGCAAATAGACCGCACTCAGCAGGGGTGGTAATTCTGTTCAATAGGAGGTCGGCGGCAGCAAACAAGTTGTCTCTGTTAGATGCCTCGATGGATGAGGAGGAGGGTCGATGGGTGAAGCTCAACTTCTCTTATCAGGAGGAACAATTCTCGTTAGTCACAGTCTATTGCCACAACTCCCACCAAAGTAGAGCAGAAATGCTTCAGTCATTACAATCCCACTTGGAGTCAACGAGACATGTCATACTGGCAAGTGACTGGAATGCCACTCTTGACCCAGGTTTAGATAGGATAATGGGCGGAAGATCAGGATTAGGGGATGAGCCTCCGGGTGAAGAGGCCTTACCAATTCACGCACTCATGATTGCCCAGAGGCTTATTGACCCCTTCCACCTCCACTACCCAAACCTGAAACAATACACCTACTACAAAAGGAATCGCAGCCAGCACATGTCAACCTCTAGAATAGATTACTTCCTAGTATCAGATGAGCTGATAGGATCTATTCACTCGATCGAAATAGGTGATCTGCCGCACTGCACATGTCTAGATCACAAACCTGTGACGCTAGAGCTGACCCTAAATAAACATATCCAGAGAGGCAGAAGTTTCTACAAGATAAACAATTCCCTACCAAAAACTCCAGAGCTAAGAAAGGCCATACTACAGGTATGCTTGGACCACAACAGCGACTCACAGTCGTTCCCTGATTTAATCAATGCACTAACGCAAGCATCGTCAGCACTGGCCAGACAGTTAGCAGCTAGAAGGAAAGCTAGGGAACAGGAACTTCGGCAAGCCCTACGTATAGCAGAAAGGAACCTAATCAGCAACCCGAGCACGAAATTATATGAAACCACAATAGAGGAGGCAAGAAGGGATTTAGGGGACTGGGAACGTTGGAGGGCTAGGGGTATGCAGTTGAGAGCAAGAGTAAAAGAGTGGGAAGAAGGAGAACGAATGACAAAGTACTTCTTTCAAAAGATTAAAACAAGAGGTAGGAATTCGCTAATAGAGCAGTTGGAAGGCTCTCAGGGAGTAGTGTCAGATCCTGAAGGGTTGTTGTCAGTAGCCAGTAGCTTCTACACCTCACTCTATAGGTCTAGAGAAGGGGACCAGGATCCAAGACAGGTAAAGGAAGTTCGGAACAAATTCCTAGCCTACCTGGACCGCACGGTGAATGGGGTCCAGGCAGAGATGCTAGACGCCCCGCTTTCGCAAGAAGAGCTGAGAGTGGCTTTAGATACAATGCCTCCAAACAAAACGCCGGGCAGGGATGGACTAACAAGGGAATTCTGGCAGGAGTATTGGGAAATCTTGGGAGGGGAATACGAAACCTTCTTGAAACAGGCATGGATCAACGAATAAACCCTAGGGACATTAAAAACTACAGACCGATTACACTCCTAACACTAACACACAAGATAGTGGCCAAAGCATTAGCGAACCGCTTGAGGAGGCTAACGGCCAACTGCTTCCACTTGGATCAAACAAGCTTTATCCCAGGGAGATTCATCCTGGACAACGTGATGACTTTATCGGAATCGATGAGATTCATAGCGAACAAAAGAATGAACGCAGCCATCCTCTTCTTTGATTTCGAAAAAGCATACGACCAGGTCAGCTGGCCTTTTCTTCAGCAATGTATGGAAAAAATGGGAGTAGGTCCCAACTTTCGCAAGTGGGTGAGAGTATTATACAACGATTCACATGGCCAGGTACAAGTCAACGGATATCTTTCAGATAGATACAGAATGACTAGATCAGTGAGGCAAGGGGACCCATTAGCCGCCCCCATCTTTCTCTTTATCATGGAAGCCATAGCTTCATTCCTTAGGAAAGACCCTTCAATTGATCGTCTAATAGCAGAACCGGACCAGCAGGGGCGTATAATAGAATTACCCACCACGATACTATTCGCAGACGATCTCACAGTACTCATCAGGGCCACGAATTCCTCTTTTCAAGCACTCACAAAAGCGATGGAAGGATTCCAGTTGGCATCGGAAATGAGAATTAACTGGCCCAAACGATAGGATGGTGGCTTACATACGACCAGCAGCACCAACAGCCCCAGCCCCCTGACCATGGGGGAATGGAGTGGCTGCCCCCACACCAACCGTTGAGGTATCTGGGGATTAGGCTAGCAGACGAGGGCCCACATCACTCCATGGCCCCTGATCAAATGACCAAAATGTTAGCAAAGTTGGACATATGGTCTACCATTTATACCTACCTGTACGGGAGAGCCTTGGTCCTCAATGCCTCCATCTTCTCCATGCTATGGTATGCGGGCACCCTGTGGTCACCCCCAGGTTCAACACTTCGAAGGCTCCGAAGGGTTGCAGCAGCCTATCTGTGGACAGGGAACCCGACCAAGGATAACTTCATCTCTAAGGTAGCCT